TTGCCTAGAGATATTAAAATTAGATTGCATCTGGAATGCCTCCCAGTCCATGCATCCAGGTTGCCTCCTGGTCTGACAAAAATTGGGGACCATGGGATCTCTTTGGATGTCTGGGGTAATTTGAGCCTAAGACTGTTGAAYGTGACACTGGGAATACTCAATTTGGAAACAAGGAGTAAACCATATGCATGGAGAACCATTTACTTCCACCCAGATCTTAAACACAAGCTAGACAGCCTAAAGAAGACTGACCCACCAGCAGACAAAGCACAAAACTTTCACACAGGAATTAGGGCAGCAATGAGTTCATTCAATGCAATCTGTGAAATCAATGGTGGAGTGTTGTGGGATAACCTTCCATATGCGGGTGGGGTGTGGAAGGTGAAGATGAAGTTTAGTATAGTGTATGTAATTGGTGACACAGAAATGCACGACTTTCTGTGTGGAAAATACCAGGCAAGGGGATGAGGGGTTGAAAAACAATGCAGGAACTGCAAGTGTGATACAGTGAGTATGTAATCCATCSGTTCAATACAGGCAACAAGTATGGAAACTATCAGACTTTGATTTKTTCTTACTTGGTGGGACCCAGGCCCAGAAAAAGGAGAATTGTAGGAGGGTTTTGCATCACCRCTTGATACACAATGAATTTCACAAAYKAAACTTTGGAACCAATGATCACAACATCCAACTAGCTTTGCCAGGAGAATGCCTCCATATACACCAGCTAGGGGTTTGAGAAACAAAGGATGAAGATTCTTCTGATTGTGGTGATGATGACTCCAAAAACTCAAGGGAGAGCAATGAGGGACAAATTTCTGGTTGTGAGGGAGACAACTCTGACAATTCTGTTGAATACTAACACACAATCAAATGGGGTTTGTCAAACAATTGTGAACAGAAAATAATAGTGAAAGGAGACAACAACTTTTACAGATTAATTGGAATTTATACTGCATGTGTGAAAATTTGGGTTGCATTACGGATCAGGATAATAGTAAGCATGCACCAAGGTACTAWCAACATTTCCAGTTGTCCTGCCTGAGATGTTGCGAAGCTTGTCATGAAAATATTTATAAAGGGACAGTCAAACAACATCCTTTGTTGGGTTGRTGTAACTTTTGGGCTACTCAATTGCAAGAACAAATCTCTTTGCCTTCCCCATCATGCAGAAAAAAATTACATGAAACCAGATTGTGGGTGATACACCACAAACAACAAATGTTTCACATTTTCCTCAGGTGCAACCTTGAGAGTTAGGAAAAATAACCCAGTCTTGTAATCCAAGATTGAATTCTCTATACTAGAAGCCAATTTGTTAGCCACAGGCATGAATGCTTTCTTTTCCCAGTTGAATTTAGTGTTGGATGGTTCATCCTTGGCCAATTTTTCTACGAAGAAAGTTTGCATCACTTTGCAAATCATTTGGGAGAAAATTTCAGCCAAAATGTCTACCTTCTCATTCTTGAACAGGTCAAAAATGGGCTTCAAKATGAGGTCTTTCATGTTGTTTTTGTAGGCTGGAATGCAGAGGACATGTACCTGAGAAAGAATTTCAACACCGTCTTGGCATTAAATCATTGAAACATCAGCTGTTTGGATGTTTCATCCCACTTTAGATCCTCAGTGCACTGAGGAGRGTAGAAGAAGCCTTCTTCTTCCTGAATGATAAGATGATAGAACCTGAACTTCTTGGCTGCATTTATGTATGGTATCAAATCAGGAAAGCATTGCAGGATATTAGACTTCAAATTGCCGATTCCTTTTTTATTATGTTTTCTGACATTATATTGTCAATCTGGTCGTGTTCAATGAGGTTAATGCATATTTACTTTTCAGGTCTAGGGAACTGTTGCAAGTTCTGTCAGGGAGGGCAGCAGAGGCACTGGCCCAGGATGCAAAGGGAAGGGAAGATTTTTGCTTCTTCTTTGGTGGTGATTCTGTGGGCAGGTCAGTCTTGCCATTCAGTGAACGGCCCAACAATGCACTCATTTCTTCATCCATATAATATTGTTTGTCACTATGATCTTCTTTGTGCAGCAATATTCTTTCTTGGTTGTGAWMACCAGCAGGGTTGTCCAATGCATTCAGTGACTCAAGGGAATCACCAAGGTGTTGTGAYACAACCTCACAACGCTCCTCACCTCCATGAACAAGTGCTTTGAACACCTTCACATTTTCACTAAACCCAAGACATTCCCAGCAGAGGAGAAGGCAATCAGATAGGGATGCTTTGTCCTACAAGGCTTTTACCTTTTACCTGGTGAAATTGGACAAACGGAGTTGGTTGGTGCCCTCCTTGGAAGGGTAGGGGAGATGACATTGGTTTGAGATGTTTTGTGAATTATGGCTATGGCTAAATCAAATGAAAAAATCAAACAGTAATTCTATCATCTATTTTGCTGCAAATTGAGTAACATGCTGGGCTACTTCTTGCACAAGAAAGAAAAAGGACCAGAGATCTCCATGGTGGTGGTAGTGTGAGAGGCACCTTCTCCAGCCATGACCCACAATCAGCTGATTAAAGTGATAGTGCAATAACAAGGTTTCAATAAAAATAAGGACAACCAGGACCAAAGCTTATGGTTTTTGATAAACAATTTTTTTTGGCAGTACTGGTTTACTGATGGTTTGTGGGATTGGGAGGGGCTACAACAACATATGTTTGGTGACTGGTGAGAAGAAAACAGAAGAAATTGATGTTTACAACATGGTTTTCAATGAGGCAGTCGTGGCTGTTACAGATGTTGGAAAACAGGAGGSAGTGATCCACAAATCTAAGTATTTCAACAAAGCATTCACCACCATTTGCAACCAGCAATCTCACTTGCTTTATTAGCAGATACGACACATCAGGTTTGCTGTTGGCATAGATTGGCCAACATTTGTTCCACAATACTAGTACTACTACTATGATGAGTTTCACCTCAGCAGTACTACTACCAGTATTAACACCAGTAGCTACTAGTAGTAACAGTAGTAATAGTTGTAGCAACAATACTACTACTAGCCACCACCACCACCACCACCACTACTACTACTACTAGTATTAGTAGTGGTAGTACATAGTGATACTAACAACACGACTGGTGCAGCATGCATCTTCAAACTTGTTGGTGTTCTTGTTCTCATTGCTGTAATACTACTACTCAACTAGTAGTAGTACTACTGCTACCACTAGTGCTAGTAGTAGTAGTATTGCTACAACTACTTTTACTACTTCTGTTAATTCTAGTACTGAGGTGAAACTCATCATAGTACTAGTAGTAGTACCACTAGTCTATTAGGAGTACTGTGGTGGAAAATAGCTAATGTTCATTTTTCAATACTAGTACTAGTGAAATACTACTACTAGTAGTAGTACTAGTAGTACCACAAATACCAATTTAATATCCAAGAAAAAAGGTATTTAGAATCAGTATCAAAACAAAACTGGGTGAGACTAACTACTCAAAAAATTAAAATAGTAGTATTTTTATAAAGCTGTAGTAATTGCTTAAAGGTTGGATAGTTTTACTAGTATTATGCAGTAAAAATGAGAATTTAAAATAAAGTAGGGTGAATTTTTGGAAGTTTGGACCACACGTGGAATACTGTATGAGTTTTTGATTCGTGGGTTGCGCAACCCTCTATTATGACCCCTGACTCGTAGAAGGTACGTACTCATGTTTTGAGTTCATTAATAATCAATCCATCAGTTGAAGTTCGGACCAGCCAATAGGAATTAGAAGTATTAGTTCTTCATATTGCTGTTCTTCTTTTTTACATGCGGTATCGCTAATGATCTACGAAGTACTCGTACATAAAGGTTTGGGAATCATGACGTAAGAAAAAGTACCAAGATTCTTTMTATTGTGTTTACATTCTTGTTTTCATAAAGTAAGACCCATTTTTRAACTAATACTTMGTACCTGCGTAGAACGATAATTAAAATTCATTCCGATTTCTTTCACGARCGAAGKAYGTGGATAAAACGAAAACTTTGGATGTCCATGTTCTTCAAATGCTATATGAAAGAAGTGTAAAGCGTTTTTGATAGGACATKCAGCAYAGAATTTTTGTATSAGAAAWATTTCGTAAGTCAGGTATTATGGCATCAATTGGAAAGCCTTTAAARAATGTTGTTCCATAGCGTTCTACTAGTTCCCAAAGTTCCGGAAAAAGCATGTSGAGTTTTCAATATTCTTCATCATTAATCMGTACTTTTTGCCACGTAGAGCGGATCTATGATTCTCGTGAGGAGAGTTCTCCAGATGTTCYTATTCATTCRGGTGAATTCTACATGACACTCCRAATATTTAAGKTTGGATGTTGAATCGAATATTGACATTCAACTTATCGACCAAGCGCAGCCGTTCTACCTTWRAAAAGACTTRTAGCTAGAAAACAAAAATAAACTTAACAACCTCGTCATAAATTGTCGAGTGTTATTTGTTTTCGTTGTCAAAGAATGATCAGTYATGAAATKAAGGAATAGAGAAGATTCTTCTTTTTCGAAATAGAATATGGATATTTTTCTTCGGTTTTTCGTCATTGACGTTGACAACAAAATGGACGCGAATGGTAGCTTTTCCCGTACGGTATAATTTGGTTCTACGAAGAACGATTGAACAACTTCCAATATGTAAGGACTGACCTCGTAAGCTTCATGTTGTAATAACCGCTGTCACAACTGCACAAACTTTTAAACAAATTACAACCACAGGYGTCACAATTATTTACTTGTCGTCCCATCGTTAGGTGTACGAACAATCGGTAATTTAGGTAACACAAGACTAGTTGCTGTCCCCCAATGGAGGAGTTCCGTTCTCCGGTGCTGATTGCTCCCTGCAAATCGCCGCTCATGGGTGGAGTTGTTAGTAATAGTATCATTCAAGCRAAGTCTCTCGGTATGAAAAGGAGACTGTCTGGTCCATCCGATACTGGGGGTTCGCTCTCCATCGGRAAGAAGGTTTGCCGGCAAGTTAAGTGCGCTCATCGTCTATCGAAAGTGAAATGGGATCTACCAGCACAGCATCGAGAAGACCATCTCCCTCTGCTCCCCAAGAAAAGATGCTCTGTAGAGAATGAAACAGACACCTGGCATTCTGTAAGTAAAAGATATTGATAACTCTTTTAGTTGTGTTTTGTCTGAATATCTTGCTCGAAGTTGGAACCTGTTCTCTTCACTTGTTTCTTGATTATACCTCACGCATGACGTTTTTGCAGAAGGAAGAATACAAAAAACTTCTTTTGGATCAGTTCCTAACAGTTCACATAATGCGATCCTTGCGGGCCCTATCTCAGAATGAAGACSAAAAAAGTGGAGATAGCAATAAGGACAAGAAGTTCAGCTGCGACGACTACTTGAAGAAACTGGCAATCGATCCAAAAGACTATTGCGAGCGTGGCCTCGAAAATTACGAATCAGAGGAAGGTCGCMATCAGATCAACTTAAATCGCAAGCGTCACAAGTTGTTAGTTATCGAAGAATACAAACGACAGAGAATAACAGGAACAAACGATCCCGAGCTTGTTCGGATCATTTCGATGACTCAATCGGTACGATCGATGTTAAAGGCTCAGTTGTTGGCGGCCATTGATCAGCAAGAAGCACGAGCAAACAACAATGGCGCAAAGGACGAAACCAATGGTAACAATGGAAAGAAAAAATATGTGCCGAAACAACATCTACTCTGTCCATGTGTTTCCCTWATGTCTCACCTAGACTCAAATGGCACAAAACCTACCAACTCCGCGAGCGTCATCAAYGAGGAGAATATTGTTGCTCAACTACTTGTTCATCGAAATGATGGCCATTATGTACCGCAAGCAGTTCGCGATGAGTTTAGCAAACAACACAAACAACTGCAATATCGAGATCTTCTTTTGCAACAACATCGTAATTTTCTCTTAAAACAGCAACAACAGCTACAGCACCATATACATTCTGAATCTAAGCTTCATCAGCATCTCCAACACTGTGACAAGACATGTTACAACGATAAAATAATGAACATACAACAAAACACCTCACTTTCACCARTCGCGATATCCCTGATCCTCAATTCTATGCAAGGCCAAGAATTGCTTCGTTGTAATCAGCAGCAACAGCAACATCATCATCATCTGTGCTACCAGAAACACATACAACATTTGTTGCATCGTCATCATCATCAGCAGCAGCTTCGAGTCATCGGTCTCGCTTCTGCGGGATCCGTCGAAAATTCCCCTCGATGACCAAAACGAAAGTACACATATGTTCGTTGCTTTGAAAACTAAACTCCAGGTTCTCAGAAACATGCTTCTTCTGTACATATTCACAATGTATCCACCATATCGATACTACCATTTTGAAGAATCTAATTTAGAACACTAAAGACGCAAATTTTGAACGCATCTAGTCTTTCCTTCAATCTTTTGACCACACCACATGGTACACTAGTTTTGTCTGTTCCGTAGTTCCATGTCGATAGCTCTGCTTGAACTATTTTCTTTGCGGAAGCTTAAATTATACGATGCTCTGCTTGAATTATTTTCGTTTTAGACGCTTAAATTATACAGTACTTGTCGTCATCTATTTGACGCACCAGCGCCCTGCTTCAAGCTACGTCACTGGTAGCCAGCACCGTGGAATCTTGTTYGCATGTCYCGACCTGCAATTGTGTTCCTGAGAATTGATGAAGATATCGCATAAGCGTGTGATTTATGGTGCTTCTCTTGTCATTAAAGCACGGGCATCATGTTTATTTCTGCCAATCATCGTCGTCGTCGTCGTCATCGTTGCCGGCACTGTCGCTGTCCTTGTCCTCCCGAGTATAAACGTTGTAATATGTTTCTCCATTCGCTGGGTCCACGCCGCTCTCGATCCACAGCTTGTTGTCGAAGAATACAGTTTGTATGTACGTGTTTCGCCCCTTCAGCATTCCAAACATCCCGATACCAAGGTTGGAGAATCCCATCACGTCTGTCACAATTTTGTCGTAGGTAATTTGAACGATCGCAGAGCCCAGAATGCCGTCGGTCCGTGGCTGAAACCAAACAAAAATGCAAGGAAAGATGGAAGCCATTCAGAATTGCCTTTGGATGAATTTRTCTAGCTTATTCTCCAGTCAATGAAGCTTTATCAAATGATCCAGCTCCGACGTGATAAAACTAACACAGCAATCCTTAAATGCAACGCAACAAAAYAGCAATCAATGCAACGTACCTCCATCACGGAATACGTACTTCTGGCCACCAAGCGCTTGAGGGCCAGTGTCTTAAAAAAGTCGAGACCATAGTCCACCCGATTGCTCCCGGTCGCTGCACTCCCGCTTCCGCTCGCAAAGTCCATCGTGATGGTTGCGTCCTTCGGGAGAGCTTCAGCCATGAGAGATTGCGTTGTAAAGGCCATCCTCCACTTTGTTCCGGGAAGCGCCGACCTCAACCGCAAGGGGAGTGGAACGGAAGAGTCAACCGTTTTCATGTTGGGGAGGCGTCGGGAGAGTATTTCCTCGACATAGGACCTGAGTTCGGCGCGCTTCGAAGGATCTAGTTGTGAAGGCTTCACGTTTTGCTTCTTCATCGCGTCCAATTGGATTTGCAACTCTTGGTACTCGAAATCCGCTGTCGATTGTTTTTTAACGTGCAGTGCTGGTGCGATTCTCGCCGCGGTCACGGCCTGAGCAGTTTKTTGTTTCGTGGGCGGAAAGTGCCGCAGCGAATTCGAATTCGTTCGTTTAGAGCAGTAATGGGGTGGCGGGGCAAAAGCAGTAACAACCGAGGAAAGGCACAAGCTGCATGTGACCGTTGCCATTATCAGTAACCAGAGTATTTGCTGTCGGGAATGTTTTTGGTCCATTTTGGGAATAATGTACGACTTGTTTGGGTCGTTGTTCAATTGTGAGAAAATGAAAGAAATTTACGCGGGGATTATTGTTTCTGTTTCCGTCCCTGCTTTGTCGTGATTTATGGTCCGTTCTATTCTCTTCTGTTCTACTGTATTGCGTTATGAAGCTGCTTTATGTCTCTTGCGTAGTCGTGTCCATCTGCCTTCTCCTTCACGCGGTTGCTGATCGTATCTTTGCTGTCAGCAATGTTTGTGTTTGACGTACACCAATAAGTATTCGTATGGATAAASGTACGAGTACCAGTAGTGTTGGGATGGGATRGGAGCAAGATCAAACGATTACTTATTGCTTATTGGATTTCGATTGACTTGATCTCGTCGTCGTGGAATTTTTCTAGACGTGTTGACACGATTCATGATTTCCAACCTTGCCACTCTGCAGTTGTGTCATGCGCTCGTTAAAAAACCGTCCGTCCTTCGTAAAAATTGGAAAAAGACTACAGTAGGTTTTTCAAGTCGAGTGAATCAAAATCGACTTTATTACTGTACTGTATAAAATTACTGGAGATAATTTTTAACGGCTGAGGAAGCGTTGATGCCGTTGAAATTGGCGCGAACTATAATTCAGTGAGGTTGCGGAACGGAAACGCGACCTGGATCGCAACAAAATCTGCCTCCGTTGTCACCTGCTCACATTTCTGTCGAGATGCGAGAACGAAAAAAATGATGATCGTCCAACATTCTGTAAATGCGTTGATTGTTCTCTGACACTTTTTATCGAAAGACCACAAAGCCGAATTCGATCCGAGAAACACCGTTCAAGGCTCTTACCATGATGCGTTTGATGGTGTCGGCACTGCTCTTCTTGGGCCATTGTCCGTCTGGTCTGGTCGACGCGAATACTGGCATCGAAGCACTAGTTTCAAAGGCCAAACGAAAATTTAAGTCCTATCAGAGCGATCCTTTGAATTTACTCCGCGGCATCCAAGCAGGCGAATACGACCGAATTTACATCCATTATCACCAGTGCGTTTGGTCCGAACTAGACAGCTATAGCGACAATTACGAAGAATCAGGATGCAGCGGTGACGAGAATGGAGGAGACAAGCCCTGGTACATGGGCAATACTCAGTGTTACCGAGCGAATGTAGCATATTCGCTCTATGGTGTGCGAGCGGGAGACGAGTCGCCACAGGATGCCTGCAGGAGRCGCTATTATATCAACACGTTCTTTACTAGCAATGGGATCGAAGAGTTTGGCGATCTCGTAGGACTGGAGAACCACGAGGATGCAACAACACAGTGCACTCTGGTAGGTGATGAAGAGAACGGCGACGACGATGCCGACGGTGCGGATTATGATTCGTTCCAGCACAACACCGAAATATATCCTAACGCTCAGAGCTATACTACCTTCTGCGCCGATGGTAGATTTGTCAACACCCTCTTTGGTGGGGCATATTGCACTGGAAAAAGCGACTTGGAAGTGTTGGACCCGCTCGACGACCTTAACAGCGAACTGATGGAATTGGAATGCGCCCTAGTCTACACGGCGGAGAATGAAAACAATGGAGGAGGCAATGATGTCGGTGATGAAAACGAGAACGCACGAAAGCTTGAGGAGGGAGAACAGGAAGGAGATGGAGACAATGACCAGCAAGAAAACTCAGGCGACGAGGAGGACAACGAAGATGACAACGGAGATCAAGACAACGAAAATCAAGAGAACGAAGGAAACGGAAACGACAAAGGCGGCACATTGTGGAACGTGTTGTCACACTCGAGCACATGCAGCATCCTTGAGTATCCGAATGCATGCCCAGACCCTTATCGTGCCAAGAAACATTTCGACATGAACCCTCGGACTTCAAGTGGCTTTTCGCGTCGATTGAACCCAGTCGATTGGTTTTCCTTGGTGCTGTTTGTATTGGGATCGGTTCTTCTAGCAGTTACACTTTTGATCGAAGATCGCCAACCGGAAGAAAAGAAATCGAAGCGAAAAGGCTTCTTTTTTACTCGACCTAGTTCTCGATCCCGCGCTCGATCCTGGGGATCTCGGGGGCGATCTCGGGGACGATCTCGGGGACGATCGAGAGGAGAATCTCGGGGACGATCGCGAGAGCACTCAACAGGAGGAGATTATCGAAGCCATAGTGGTGAATACATGAAAGACGATACTGATAAAACGATCGACACGAACGACSCACAAACTCAGAAAAAGAAAAAGGGAGGCATGAGGGGCATTTTCTCAAAAAAAAAATAGGTGCAAGTATTTTTTTTTGCCGAAGTAATCGATGAGTTTTGAAGGATAAACTTCKCGTATGTGTAGGGTAAATCTTTCATCCACGAAGCTGCTCTGTGATGCGCGCAACCAGWGATGGATCAAATCAAAATTAGGTTGAAACGCCGCTACTAATCGTGTTGAAAGGATTTTGTTATCTATGACGAAGGAATGCTTAGAATATGCTGTAAGAGTTTGTAKGATGTCATTTGGGAAAAYATGGTCTCAACATTTTCTGMATTAGAACAGCAGTCCTTTTACACATACAAGCAATATAACAAAGTTGACACTGACTTARACTTCTGAAGGAGTAYGAATAAACTAGGTTTTGTGCTCGTATGCAAACTGTGAGAATAATCATAAATCATAATCCCTCCATCCCAGAGAGTCCCCCAAGCAACTTCCTACTGAAATAAGCTTAAGTTTTGGTCAATTTGAAGGGTTTATTTTTTGTTGTATTGGATCTTGTCCAATACTATTTTTATGTGCTATCCCTAWTAGACCTGTACTAATAGTCAGATTGGAATAAGCCTTCAAATAGACCCTTTAGATCATGTCATTTTGATTTTGTGGGTTGAAAGGAGGGTTCCAACGGTSATTTTGATATGCCGCTACTTGCACATGTTGGGGTGGAAAGAGGTGCACCGTACCATTGACAAAAATTGTGTTTGCTTTCTTGTTAATAGTATGWGTAATTTCGTGTGTGAAAAATAAATTTAGTCAGGTGCATGCTCATTTTTTCAATGGTGCTGATTCTATGTGTTTGACACAGTCATATTTTATTGGCGATTAAAAGAAAATGWAGAAAATTGTCAAGTTAACAATGGGACTTTCAAACAGGTATAGCATAATCAGAGTCAACGGACAGTCGTACCTAACTGCTGCCAGTATGTGKTGTATTTGTACCACCCCATTTATATGTACTAAATTCCTACCTATTTTGTACTAGTAGGACTTTCTTTTACTATGGAACTGTTGCATTAAGCCCTCTATTGGGACAGGTTGGGTGCCAAATACAGTTGCCCGAATAGTACTACTAGTAAGTATGAATTGAGTGCAAGCCATTTTGTAACTCTCACATGCCCACCACATCATTCCCACCAACTAAAGTGGTATAGCAAAAAAACACACCACATTWAACTGTCTTGCTCACAAAATCAAGCAAGGAACTAGTAAAACAAGCACTAAAACAAGCAGGAGTTAGCAAACAACAAGAAAGAGTTGTAGTACTAGTACAAGTAGTACAATCATCATGGTAACAGCAACAGGAGCACAGCCTTCTTTGCACTGGGCAAGKAAGAGGCACAGCAGACCAATCACCCCTCCCCTTGATTGTGAACAAGCCAGGGTAATGGAAGAGATGCTACCATTCAGTTCTTCTTGAAGTGATGGACCACTTTCTTACAGGAAGATTGGATCAGGGACAAGATGGCAACAATCATCAATACCCCAGTAAAAATACCAAGCCTATTTAAAGAGTGGAGATTATTGCTAATGAAATAGATGGGCAACAAGTAAACTTTGATGAGCTATCTGATCCTGACAACCTTCAAGCAGGAGCCACTACAAGTGGAGGTGTTGTTGGCATCATTGGCATTAGTATGTGACGTAGAAGGACTCAATTGCAGTTGAATGGAACCATGATGTTCTCCAAGCTGTTCTCTGCAGCTAATGAAATTAATGATATCAAGAWTTGCCAGATTTCATCTGAGGCAATGTTCAACAGGAAGCTTAATCAAGTAACCACATTATCAGAAAAGAGCTRCAATGGCTCCAACTGTTTGACGTTGGCTGGCACCAGCAAAGACACCAGCRATTAGCACTGCAGCACCATCAGCAGGAACTGACAAGGGTTAGTACTTGTTGTTGTTGTTCCCTAATATAAAAAGAAAAAACATAAAAATAGTGATACAACAGTGTTTATGTTAACTGCTGTATTACTATATCCTTGACAAAAGGAGCTAGTTTAATAGCCAACAACTTGTGTTCTTTTCATAGAATTTGCTCTGTGTGTCGCAAGTACTTCTCTAGTTTGAGATTTGATGTGGTRGAACAGAGCTGGTACTAGTACAAGTTACTAGGAGGCTAGTTCTGTAATTCTAGTAGAAATAGTCTCTCCTCCATCCAATTTTGTGARAAAAATGTCCTGTCCCTATCACCAAAAATTTGAATAGTCTGTTCTTGTTCATCCATTTTGTCTACTACTTATTTTCCACCTGTACTAGCTAGTTCTAGTACTAGTAATTTGGTCATAAATACTATTAATTTGGTCAYAAATGAACAATAAAATGATAGCAAAACAATCAATTTGATATTTGTACATTCAGAATCCTCATTAAAAACTGGTATAGAGGAGGCTAGTCCCAATTTATATAATTAATATTTTTGAAGTTCTTGTAACTACTACTTTAAGTTGAATGAATTTACTAGGAGTATTATGCAGTAAAAATGAAGTTGTCAAAAAAACCCGGAAGGACATTTTCCAATTTTGGACAAACATGGAATGTGAGTTTTTGTTGCGACACCCCCCCTTCTAAATTACGGCCCCTCCTGCTATGAGGTACATTATGGTAGTAGAGTATTGGGAGCTCCAGAAAAGAGGGAGGGGTTTCAAATTTGTATTTGTATTATGATGTATTCCAAGTACCACACCAGGACCACATCATACTAGTGGTCCCTACACATAGTGTGGTCTTGCAGTCCTGGGGTAAAAATAACCCTAATTTTATAAACTCTGGTTATTTTTGGATTATTTTGTACCATGATGTCATGTTTGCTTCTTTTAGACTAACCTCTCCAGTCAGATCAGTTTACTCCCAAAACAAAAATTGCGCAACCCCCCCCCCCCTTCCCACCACACACACACACACACACATCAGCAAATGCTGCACCAGCAACTGGAGCAAATATTACTATGACTGGTGCCATAATGAACCAAATCCTCTGTTACACCAACTGCAACATCTGCCCAAGTAACTAATACAGCAAGCACCAATTGCAATGGACAATTCAACAGAAAATCCACTTGATACTCTGGTTGACGCCYGATCTATTTGATTCCTTCACTGAGAATCTACCAAGACACCAGCAGCAATAAGAGAATGACCCAGCAGTGGCACAGGMAGAACAGGAAGATGATTCCTCTCCGCCTACTACAACAATGGTTTTTGGGCATTTGACAATCCAAACAATGGATAACATGCAAGTCAACTATGGAATAGAATCCATGATTGATGAGACAACAAATCTTGACAAGAAGCATGGGAGAATGAAGAATACACMTAAATCTTATGAAGCAGCAAAGAAAGACAAGTTCCAGGTATTTTGCAACACCATCTATAGTGGAATGAGAATTTTAAAAAAGAGACACTGTCAACCAGCAAGACATCACCAAGGTAAAACAAGAATGGTGTATGCTCTCCTAGCTACTACTACTACTACTACTACTAGTACTAGTAGTAGCTAGTACTATACACCATGTTGCCTTCTGGTGGGAGCAGAAAAAAGAGGACAGAAAAAGAAAGAGGAAGGAGCAAAATCAGTTACTTTTGATATAGATGAGTGGAGACGAATATTTACTTTGACTATTGAGAACTCTCAAAACATGCTCAAAAGTAGTAGCCTCATAGAGAAACTAGAGCCTAAACATGGGGTGGACTGGAATGTGACAAATAACACGTTCCTAACGTTAGRAACSTAACGTACAATAGTAGAACAGTAGAACGTCGTTACGTTACCCAACACTACTAATGGGTGATTCCCGTTAATCTAGATGGTTTAAAAGTCTAAAGTAGACCTTTAGACTTTTTAGTTTAACGGGAATCATTAAAAACAGGCCCCCAACGGACTAAATTTTTGGTGCTCTTCTACTTTTAAGGAATCCGGAATCTCAACAGAAATGACTATGACTAAGACTGGATGAACACACGCAGGCGCCCTTTTTGAGTACAGTACCAAGTAAAACACGAAATTTTTGATAGTATCAACATTTTTGATCGTGATTTTCGATACTGTGATTTACTACATGAAATAAATCTATTCATAAACTCCACTGAATCCTAAACAAAAGACAAGAGTTGGCTCCCAGCAAACAAAAGAGACACGATGGGTGTAATTGAGACCCTTTGCATATACTGGGCAATCAAGCGTAGAGGATGCTTGTTAGATGAATGGGAAGACCAACAAAAGACTCCAGAGGAGAGACACAGGAGGGACAGGAGAACCCCCCGGCTTGCAATTTGTAGGTACGCTGACTCCCCCTTTGCCTTCCTCTTTCACTCAGGGTGTGACCAAGCACTCCTCAACTGCTGTGG